GACAAATTGGTGGGGTGTGCCCGAATGTAATCGTAAGCCTGACAAGAAAGCTGAAACTGCCACTTGGAGATTGGGTAATAAAATGTTCTGCAGCTGAATTCCTCGCAGCATCCACCAGCCATTTCATGTACTCTTCGCCAAAGCTTATCATCCGCATCGTGTGTCAGCAGCCGCCAGAGGTTGGTTGCACACTCGCATCTGTTCTGGAACCGAATGGAGTTCCGTTCTGCAATGTATCAATCTTCATATTGACTTTCATTTCGGTAGCAGCTTTGAGGTCGTCGCATCCAACCCAAGCGCTGACACCTGCAGTGGCATTTTTGATCCTGGGGACATCGGAGCCGCCGCCCTGCGGTTCTTTGATTGAAATTTGAGATTGCAATTGCTCCGACGGTGACTGCCGTATGTGCCTCATAGGGTTGCTCCTCTGGCTGCACCTCAGGCTGTGCGGCTATTTGCATCTCGACGGCGGAAATTTGACTTCACCACGAGATAGGACCAGACGATTTAATGCCCCCCAAAACGCTCGATTCGTGTGGTTGGCAGGCAGCCTTCCGCAATCGCTTTCGATGGAACATAGTGTGGTCTGCCCCGAGGGCAGCCCTCTGCTGTAAGGTGTCAAAAAGGCTTGGGGTCAACAAGAAATTAGTTTCTGATTGGAACATCAACATAACGTGAGGCTGAGTCCCGCTAGTACCCGGCGAAAACCAAAACGAATGGGAGAGACCACGCCATAAACTGCATCCAAATGGATTGAGATGTCGCACATCAATAACTTTATGCCATGTGGATTATTCCCCCCACAGTCTGTAATATGTGGCAGTCTGCCAGACTCTGGCCACCCATGGCCAGCCCGTGCTCTGCCGCTGCTCTGTTCATTATCCCCGTGCCATGCACTTTGTAAATTAATAACTCACGCAAGTAAATTAATTTAAAATCATATTTATAGCATTTTAGTTAATTAAATGCGCAAAAATGTGCTCCTCCCGCCTCCTCCCTTATCCATATAGTTTTTCCCTCATCGTTTTGTTGGCTAGGTGAAAGTGTCAACTGCACGAGTGTGTGGTTACTCCTTATGTGCTTCTTGTTGTTGCCATTGCTGTTGTGTCTGTGGCACACACACGCACACACACACACACACATAGAGACACTTCGCAGTGGCAGCCGCCTGCTTGCCGCGACATTTATGAACTTTATGAAGTCTGCTCCATAAATCATCTCTCCCATGCTAGCATTTTGCTTAGGCGAATTTAATGAAAAAATGGATATGACATGGCCCCAAACGAAGCGTTCTCGAAGCACGAATGCTCTATACAAGCAGAATATTAATACTGACATGGGGAAAAGGCAAGTGACAAATGGATTGGAAGACAACTTAAAGCAAGAACCCATGCAAATAATTATTATAAATGATCACCTACCGATGTGTACATTGGTTCGGGTTGCTCCACATTAATTGTGCAGTGTATTGGCACAGGCAAAGCGAAAGATGAAATCATGCGGTCTGCAGAGTGCTTCCAAAGGTGGAACAGGGATTTGGCCCTGAGTGGTAGGTAGGTAGATAGGTGGATAGGTGGCTGAGAGTGTGGGGTGTTGCAGCATGTGTGCCACATTGCCACATGGCGCATTGCCGTATCCACGACGACTGTTTGTTTATAGCCGCTGGTGTGTTTTGCCTTTTCGGCTATTTATATTATTTTTTGAGATTTTTCTCGCTGGTTGCCGGCAAGTTGGTTTATTATTTTGCGCTTATTTCTAATTTTTCGCCCATCAACCTGGTTCTCTCTCTCTCTCTTATTTATTCCTGCTGAGATTTATGCCCAATATCAGTGCTGCAAGTTAATGTGGCGCGTTATGGCGCCACAAAGTTACAGTTTCGTTTCGGCCCGGAGATTATGCAAAGTTATGCGTACCCTCCCGCCACACCACGGCCACGCCAATAAACTGCAGAGAGAGTAGCCGGCACATGCATATAAAACAATTTGCCTACAAAGGAGCCAACACCGCTCGAGCGCTGCCTCATTTCGGAGCCAGCAATTTAAAATTGTTTATAAAACAGGGCCCATATACACATGAGCATAAAACTTGCATGAAAAGATGCTGGGAGTGAGGCTGATGCGAGGCTGGGAGTGGTGGCCACAATAGCTCCCAGAGGTCGGCATTAAATTCTGCTGCTGGCCTATATAAGCCCGGCCAGGGTTGGGCCCGGGCCCTAACTACACCATGGGGACAGCAATTGATGATAGTCTGAGGCCAAAGATATGTAGCCGAAGCCAAAGCCGCGCCGGAAGCGGCTACCGCTGCTGCTGAGGCTGAAACTGAGGCTAAAGCCAAAGCCAAAGCCAAAGCGAATGCTGCAGGATATAAAAGGACTTAGTCGCATGTTAACGCAACGCCTACGCAAATCCATAACAGCAACAGGAGCTAGACCTGGGCCAGGACAAGGAACAGGACCAGCACACGAAGGAGCAGGAGTAACAGCCACCCCCCAGGCAATGCACTGCATCTGCTGAATGGCCCGGGGAGGTCTGGTAATGCGGCTGATGCCTCCCCAAAGTCAGCATCCCGGACTACCATTATGAAGTCATAAACGCACATGCAGCCAGGCCCAAAATTGGAAGAGCCCGAAGGGGGATGAGCCACGGGCCTTAGCTCCATCTTCATCTCCATCTCCATCTTCCTGCGCCTGCGACTTGGACTTGGACACCCAGTTCTGGTTTTTTTAGCACATGTAAAAATGCTTGTTATCAAGAACGAAACGAAAACATAAAGAAGGGCAGGAGCAGCATAGAGCAGGGGCAAAAAAAATTAAACAACGAGAGATGTGGACAATATTCGGGCACAGCCCGGGGCTTAAACTGTTATTACCAGAAGGAGGAGGCGGGACACATCGTCGACCATTGGGAACAGTGGAAAGAGCGGGAAGTGGGTGCCGTCTGCTGTTTATGAGTTGTAAAGCCGTAGTCAGACAATAGCCAAGTCCTGCAACATACGAGAGCTAAGCCGGAGGCCATATTACGAGCCCGGTCTAGTTTTGTCATTTTTGAACAGAAAGATAAATTGGAGGGAAAGCCCAGCTTCGGTTGGATGTCAATGTTCTGTGGTGGCTTCTTATGCCTGGCTGCATTTTATAATTCATCCTCTGGTGTATGTTAGACATTGTGCCCCAGAACTCAGAGAAGTAAAGCGTGAGGAAAGGCAGTTGTTCACGTGAGTTGTGGATACTCAATTGGAACAAGTTTAGGCAAAGGAAATGGCAAAGGGCTGCCAGAAGTTTCATTTCAGTGATGAATTATCATTGCAGTGGGGCGAAATGTGCGCTCCAGTAATGTTAATTTAGGCTTTTACACGCAGTGTTTATTGATACGTTGGCTTGGACCATTTCCCATCTTCTAGCGACTTTTGCTCTAGCCTTCTAATGTGTCACATGCTGAAGCTATCGTGGACACAGTTTGCTTTGAAACGCGATTGTTCTGTACGCCCAGCCCTATTTGATTCGTTGATAAATGCCGTGGGGTGTTCAACTAATTGAATGGCTTGCTCTCCCCTCGGTTGTTGGCCATCTTTCGATCTCAAATTTCGCTGCCTTTGAGTATTACAAAAGAGCCACGCGTCAATTAGACTGAAGTGCATGTTAAAAATGTGTTTTAAAAGCCGTGCCAATATTATCTTACTCTGCACTCTGAATTGTATCGGGGAGCAGTCGTCGCGCCTAGGGTGGCAGCACGTGCCCAGGACTTTTTCGCTGGAGTTTAAAGCGAAACTTAAAGACGGAACTTTGGGACTGCCAACTACTCGCTCGAAAGGAGGCAAAGATTCGGTTCGTATTGGGCTTTGGCAGAACATTTCTGGCATACTTCACACAATCTACTGATGAAGTCAACTGGAAGACTCGCATTTCTTTGATGTTCCGAAAGCAATTGCAAACATACATACTCGAACATACGTACATACCCTGATACATCAAAATAACCCCGCAAAGCACAAAAACACACACACAAAGAGCAACGCAACGCACAGAAAGGATGCCGTTTGTATAGAGATGTCTTTGGCGCATTTCAAAGCCCACAGCTTCAAAGCATCACCCCCCAAAAATGACCTTTGTGTGCGGCAGAAGCTGTGGCCAGCCATGAAATGGGCCACTAAATAGTAATTTACTAAATTAGTTTGTTCTTCTAATTAACGGCATGCCGGAGCAAACCCAAGGCTGCGAATCAGAGCTCGTTCCATCCATTCGACCTCAGCCCCGCTGCTGCTGCTCCTGCTCCTGCTGTTGCGGGCCATTAAAAATTTCGTAATTACTCTAAAAGGATTTCAATTAGGGTTTTGCAATCGCATTAGACTAAATGAAACTACGCGCGCCCCATCATAGCATACAATAATAATAATATACAAATAATAATTGTCATAATAATGTTCATGATGTTAATGGAAATCATAAATGAAAAAAAACACACACACAATTTCATCTAAAGGCAATTACTAAATATTCAAAATAAGTAAGCTGACGCCCAGACTGACATCATAGTCGACTGTTTTCCAATGAAAGTATGCCACAGTGTGAGCGAACCAATTAATCATGATATATGCAATATGAGTGCATTGGAAAAGTAAATTAATTTTGTGCGGCTTTTAACGCCGATTGAAATATATGCATTTCAATTTCTCCAGTAATTACCATCTGAAACCTGACCAAAAATGGTCTAATAAATATCGTTGACTGATTAGGTATCCAATTTCTTGTTCAGAAAATATATTTACATATATGCAGTTACATTTGTATACACAAAACTATTACTAAGCAATATTGAAGCCAGAATCTCAAGAAAAACTTTGAATAATTATTCAGCTGCATTTCCCCAGTCAAGCTGTTGCAGCTTTGCAATTTCAATGCGGTGTGTAAAATAGATAATTATATTGATCCCCAGCATCAGACCTTTGTATTAACAAATTCTAAGTAAGTGACTACAAAAATCTACCTATAAATATGGGATGCTCGGCCGGAGCGGTAGGCATTAGCAAAGTAAAGAACCTTCGAGAATGAGGACTACGCTGGCATTGACCCTGCTGCTCGGCTGCCTGACAGCGAACTTCGTGGTGAGTGGAACTTTGGGCAAAAGTCGGCGTTGAAGGCTACTGAGATTCTCTTCTTCAGAGGGCGACTGATGTGAATACCTCTGAGATTGCAAGGAAATGCGTGACCGATTTGGGAGTTACTGAGCAGGATTTATGGGACCTGAGGTCAGGCAAGGTGAAGCCTGCAGACGTGAAGGACAATGTGAAGTGTACCGCCAAGTGCGTGATGGTGGCAAGCGGATATATGGACGAGAGTGGAAGCCTTCTGACAGACAAGATCAAGAAACAATACGCCAACCATCCCCATAGACATGCGATTTACAAGGCCCTGGAGGTCTGTGGAGTCGTAAAAGGAGCCAATGCCTGCGACACCGCATTCAAGATCGTCTCCTGCGTCCAGACCAATGGCCGCTCATTCCAATAAGACAGTATCCCGACTGTTGGATGTGATACCCGCCCTTACCCCGAAGAATCGATACAAAGAAATTGCGGGTTTTCCCTTTAAAGGAGCAAAGGCGCAGGAACGAAATGTCATCAGAAATCAGATCGAGCCTTAGTCCTTAAGTTAATTGTACTTTTACTCTGCCAGCCTACCGCTATAGCATATAACAAGTAAACCTCCCATCTTAAATATAATCATAGTTAACGAAATATTTCCTAAGAGGATAAATAATAAATAATGTAAAAGCTACTCCAACTCGCTTGAAGATGTGAACACTTACTCAAAAACTTAAAGCGAATGATCGATGCGTCAATTCGTGCTGAATAATGTGAACAACAAACAGAATGCAAACAATCCCGCTGTACTTTACCGGCTCTGGATGGGGAGATAACTATTGTGAAGAGTCACTCGAGAGTGCTCTGCACTCGGAGTGATGGACCAGGATGCCGAATACCTGTTTACCCTATATTCAGGAATGGAGGTACTTTTCACACAATCGGTCAAGTGTGCCGCCAAGTGCTTTTAAATGGTGGGAAAAGATATGTTCAAGGTAGTCATAGTAATATGGTTGCGTGCGCTGTGGGGCGAGATACAGATTGAATATGAAATTCTGGAATAATCGAGTTATAATTCTCAGCATGTACCAGCAATACAGATGCAGGGCAGCCACACGAACTGGAAACCAGAGTGACCAATTAAAAAAGGAATTAACTACAGCAATCGACAGAGATATTATTGAGGAGCTCTAGGGCTGTAGCAGACTTTAATCATGGCTTGCATTTCATCTCATAAAAATAAAGATTTATGCATAGATATTATCATGAATAACTATTAGCACTTGTATGTAGTTTGTAGTTTTCTCTTACATTATAATCCATAACAGTATTACTAATATAGATTTGTGTAAAGCAATATTAGCTATTTTTCAAGAGCTAAAACGTAGAGCAGTGAAGCGGACAAATGGAAAGCTTTACAATTTGCATAAGGTGTTTAAAATAAATAATTAGATTGATCCCGCCAATCTGAACTTTGTGTTGACTCCGACCAATGACGAATTTGGAGAGTCACTCGAAGTGACAATAAAAATCTACCTATAAATATGGGATGCTCGGCCGGAGCGGTAGCCATTAGCAAAGTAAAGAACCTTCGAGAATGAGGACTACGCTGGCATTGACCCTGCTGCTCGGCTGCCTAACAGCGAACTTCGTGGTGAGTGGAACTCTGGCCGAAAGTGGAAGCATACGGTGACTGAGATTCTCTTCTTCAGAGGGCGACTGATGTGAATACCTCTGAGATTGCAAGGAAATGCGTGACCGATTTGGGGGTTACTGAGCAGGATATATGGGACCTTAGGTCAGGCAAGGTGAAGCCTGCAGACGTGAAGGAAAACGTGAAGTGTATCGCCAAGTGCGTGATGGTGGCAAGCGGATATATGGACGAGAGTGGAAGCCTTCTGACAGACAAGATCAAGAAACAATACGCCAACCATCCGCATAGACATGCGATTTACAAGGCCCTGGAGGTCTGTGGAGTCGTAAAAGGAGCCAATGCCTGCGACACCGCATTCAATATCGTCTCCTGCGTCCAGACCAATGGCCGCTCATTCCAATAAGACACGATCTCGATTATCACGGAAAGTAAAAAAAAATACCATAATTCAAACGCGTGGGCATAAAATACCGATAAAAGTTATAACCCGAAGAGTCAAAACAAGTGGGTGATATTCATAAACATACACAATTGTTAATTAACAAATTTTGTTTCTAAGAAGAGGAATAATAAAGTGCTTCAAATTACTACAGCTCACTGGAAGATGTGGTCACGTACACATTTTTGATGAATTATTGAACAACTTAAGCGATAGATTAAGTACGATCATGGAAATTAGAACTTGGCCCATTATCAATGGATCGATTCGTGTCGAATAATGTGAAACAAATTACTTGGCAAATTCCAATTTTCACGTGAAGTGCCTGCGCTTACTATAAAGCAAGGCAGGGAGCGATATTATCCAGAACTGAAAAACCAAACAAAATGAGAATCACGCTAGCATTGGCTCTGCTGCTGGGCAGCCTAACTGTACAGGGGAATGGATCGGAAGAGGATCTGCATCAAAAAAAATTCGAAAAGGATCTGCAAGCCTGCATGACTGAGAACGGGGTGCAGAAAGACGATTTTCTAGACCTTGTTCCCAACGAAAATTGGACTATATCAAATGTCAGAAAACCGGCCAAGTGTGCCGCCCACTGCTATTACGTGGCAAGCGAATTAAGCAATTCGAAGGGAAACATTGTGGACAAAGCTGCCATGAAGGCATTAAACAAGAACCGTTCTAACAAGGATGAACTCGATAAGGCTGTCGATGAATGTGCAAAGGATCGAAATTCAGATCCCTGCGACAATGCCTACCAGTTCTTTGACTGCATATTGCCTCATTTCAGGAATTCAACCGGATAACTCCAATAATTGCTAGTTGAAAGCAGACCAAAAATCATAAATCAGTTGATTTATATATTTTTAATTGATTACGAATTGTTATTGGTAGCTTTTCCTTCTTCTTAAAATAGAGATTTTAAGCTCGGTATTTGGTTTTCTCCAGACAAATGCATTTAATCAGCATTCAATCTCGCCATAAAGTTAGGTTTTGATTTTTAACGTACTAAGACCGTAATATTAAATAAGAATACATCGGGATAAACCAGTAAAATTGTTGGGATCGATGCAATAATTGTTGGATATTGCTATAAACAATAGGAGGAGCTTAAGCATTTGAGTTTTTAAGTGAAAAGTAAAATTAAAACACAAAAATGTGCTGAGGAATCTGGTTCAAACAAGCTGTAAGATGAGAAGAGCCATTGTTATAATTGTGAAAACTATTTTAAAAGAAGTATTTTAAAAGTAAATCAAGCTGGTTTTCATGAAGCTTAAAAATTTGTCAATTGGTAAATATTTCATATCAGTGGTGAGTTGAACGTTTCCAAAGTTATACCGCTTTTAAGTTTGAACAATTTGTAGGCGTCTGACTTACATACATATATACTTTATGGGGTCGAAAACCTTTCCTTCTGTGCGTTACGTACATCCAATTTCGACCACAAATACGTTATACCCTATTTACTCTTCGAGTACCGGGTATAATAATAATATATAATAATATATGTATACTAATCAATGTGTTTATGTTAATGGAAATAGAATAACCACATTCCAACCAATTTCATCAAAATGCAATTACTAAATATTAATTAATCTGTTCGCACAGACTGACACTGCAGCTCCCTTTTACAATTTAAATATGCTGAACCAATTAATTAGGTTAGTTTAAAAAATGCATTAGAATTAATGTTACGTGGCGTTGAAATATATGCAAAAAATTAAAATTTAATATTAATCCGATAACTCCCATAATTGCCAGCCGAACCCAGGCCAAAAATGAAATGAAATAACATTTCATCTAATACAAATTATAGATTTATGCATAGATATAGGCATGAACAACAATTAAAATTTGTATGTAGATTGTAGATTTCTCTTCCATTACAATCCATTAAAGTATTACTAATGCAGAGATCTGTAAAGCAAAAGATATTTTTTAATAATTACTCTACAGCTACGGCACACGGTGTTTAAAGTAGATAATTAGACTGATCCCTAGATTCAGAACTTTGTATTGACTCCGTGCAATTGAAAATTCGGAGAGTCACGCGAAGTGGCAATAAAAATCTACCTATAAAAATGGGATGCACGGCCGGAGTGGTAGCCATTAGCAAAGTAAAGAACCTACGAGAATGAGGACTACGCTGGCACTGACCCTGCTGCTCGGCTGCCTAACAGCGAACTTCGTGGTGGGAGGAACTTTAGCAAAAGTATAAGTTGGAGGCTACTGAAATTATTTTTCTCCAGAGAGCAATTGATGACAAGAATACCGCTGCGATTGTGAAGAAATGCTTGACCGATTTTGGCGTTACTGAGCAGGACATTATGGACCTTAAGGAAGACAAGGTGAAGCCTGAAGACGTGAAGGACAACATAAAGTGTACCGCTCAGTGCTTGATGGTGGCAGGCGGATATATGGACGCGAATGGAAACCTGCTCACAGACAAGATCAAGGAGCAATACGCCAACCATCCCAAAAAGGATACGATTTACAAGGTCGTGGAGGTGTGTGGAGGTGAAAAGGGAGTCAATGCCTGCGACACCGCTTACCAGATCGTCTCCTGCGCAAAGACCAATGGCCACGCATTCCAATAAGACACGTTCTCGATTATCAAGGATAGCCAAGACGAATCCCAGAAGAATTGAAGAAAACTTGTCGATATTTATCATAAATTAACAACAATTTTGTTAAAAGACAAATAATAAATACATATCCATACATATTTACATATCTAACCCTAGGATCTGTCATCTAAATGGTGCCACCGATTAAAACAACTTAAGCATCCAAGATACGCTGATTTTTTCTCCCACAAAGCATTTTCTGTAGGAGTTCCCATTATAAAACAATATTATTGTGTTCCAAACGGCAACAAAACATTGAAATTGCTCAGTTGATGCTGATCAAGTGGAATGTGTGCACTTTAAGGGGTCGGAAACGTTACCTTCTGTGCGTTACGCACATTGCTCCTACCATAAATACAATATACCCTATTTACTCTTCGAGCACCAAGTAAAATTAATAAATACAAAAATATTAGCGGCACTCTAACAGATAATATGTCAGTTGGATTCCGGAAATGGGAGGCAGAGATTTGTGCTGGATAATGTGGAACTAAATGCTTGACAAATGGGACTGCAGATGAACTTGCCATCAAACAGAGTGACTAATTAATTAATAGAGCAATTACTTAGGAGCTCTGGGGTTGTTACAGACTTTAATATAATAATAATAAAATACTAAATAAAAATTGTCATTGTGATGCTTATGAAAATCGTGTATGGTGGCAAAACTGATGCCAGGCAATGCTTCCAAAATGTAATTACCAAACCCGTTTTCTAAATAATCTGGCCGTCCAGACTGACGCTTTTTTCCAATTAAAATTTCATCACAAATTCAGTAGAGGAAATGAAATAATTTTGTGTGGCAAATTCATGTATTTGATATAAAACCAAGCCAATGACTGAAACATTTACTTTAAGCTGATAACTGCAATAATTAGCAGCTTGGGTCTGACCAAAAGTCAAATGCCATAACTTGGTTTTCCGATTTCCCGGAATCTCTGGTCGCTTTTTTTGGCATAAAATATGCCGGGTAATATCTGCAAAATGGCAGCAATTTAATTACTTCGCCGCGCCTTGGAAAGAAAAGGCAGTGGAAAGAGCACTCATCAAATCATAGCCGCTGGCAACAATTTCAATCGAATTGTCGGGGCTCGGGACACTCTTTGCTTTTCCCCTCATCTGCTCCAGCTAAAGGTCCAGCTCCGGATCTTAGCCGCTGGCAGCTGCTGCCCATTGTTGGTTTTTGTTATCGAAGAGCAAACCAAGTTTTCATATAAATAGATGGCATATTTGGGGGCACTGTTATATGTATTGTTGTTTCGAGGAATTTTTAATTTCTTCATTGTGAAAATATTTATTGAAACCGAGAAACGCCAAGAGGCACAGCAGTTGACGGACTACGAGCCCGAAAAAAAGGGCAAAGAAAAACAGAAACCCCACCCGAAAATTGGGGAAACTTGTGGAAGATTGGAGCCCAGCATACAATTTGGAAGGAGGAGCAGAGTCGACTTTAAGTTGCAATGGAAGAGGCAGGACTCGACTTCGACTTCAACTCCAACTCCATTTCCTACTTACTCCATGCTTTTGGCATCTCCGGTAATAGCCACTGAAACCTGGGCAAACAAATTGAATGAAATCAACTCGTTAAAAAGTAAATAACTCTGATGAATGGCCTGAAATGCTCGTACACAAAAAGCAAACTGAACTTGCTCCAGGTGGTCCTGGGAGCCTGGGGTTGCCCAGGTGAGGCATTCCTTCTTCCTTCTCCTAGTCTTTCTGCCATTCAATTGAAAATGAAATACAAATAAAAAAGCAAACAGCGGCCCCCAAACGCATTGGCCACATACAAATGTTGGACTCGGCTCCAGGGTTGGCTTCTGTCGGCGTCTGGACAGTCCTGGGCTGGGCCGGGTCTGGCCAGGCCGAGGAAATGAGTAGACAGCCATTTCCCTGTCCCCGCAGCACGCCTGAGGTCAAGTCGGGCTGCTGCACAAAAAGGAAGGCTGCTGAAATGTAGAAAAAGCCAGCAAGGCAGGACGGCAGCGGCTTCAGCAAACGAAGTTTTCCCGGGAATAACTTTTTTTCCTTTTGCATTCATCGATGAACTTTCAATAACAGAACTTTACGCTGCCGCCCCGAGGCTTTTCCTTTTCAAGGATATGACATTGAATTGCTCTGGCTGAGAGCTCCAAGTGCAGAAAGCTAGGATTGGGTCCTGGGCCTGGGCCTGGGCCTGGGCCTGACTGTTACTTCTGACAGGGACAGAGGAGCGTTCGGGAAACGCAGCTGAGATTGAACTGCAACTCCCTTCGACTACCTTAACTACATGAAACTTATCTTATGTAGTCTTCCATAGTCATAAACTTAATTACAATTCCATAGATTTTGGCACACACACAATCGCTGTCAAACACGTAGCCTGGAAACAAGATTTTCGCTGCTATTGAGTGCACCTGCCGCCTGCAAAACAAACCGCAGTTTATGAAAACCAAAAGCCAAGTCACTGATGCCACCGCCAATGGCAAGAGCCAGGAAATATGTGTAAGCCATAGCCAAAGCACCAGCCATGGCAGCAGCCACTATAAGGAAATGCAACACCCCAAACCCGAACACCAACTCAATCCATGTCCCGGATCAGCATCAGACCAACACCAAGCCATGGCAAACTCCACTCCAAGCCCAAACAAAGTCAAAACCCATTCAACAACAGTTTCGCATAATTGTAAATTCAAGTGGAAATGAATGAATTTATGCTGAACTCGACAGAAAATACCAACAGCATGCAGCAGCGGCAGGTGAATGTTGCTCTGGCTGTTGTCCCAGGTAACAGCGAAGAAGGTAACGGGCGGGATGCTGCTGGCAATGACGATGATGATGATGGTGGCAATGCCAACGGGAGCGGTTACGGTTCCCGAATGATGCACAAACAATATGGTGCCCAGAGTCAGGGTCGGAGCTGCCACAGAATCACGTTGCTTGCATATTTTCATTCATTTCATTTCAACGTCAGAGTCTGCCGGGTACGGGGGACAATGCGAGTGGAGGAGTTATGGAATGCATAACGGGTTCGTTTTACTCCCTCCCCCGTGCCCCCCTGCCTCACTGCCTCTAACTGCTCCTATAACTGTGTATCTGTGAGAACTCCAAACAGCATTTGAATGGTGCAGGGTAAGTAAGGCCCTTCAAGTATTTACGCCTTTATTTATTTAACATTTCAATTGCATATTTTTCGCACAAAAGCGCGTGCCAAAGCGAAAGGATGAGCCAATGGCAGAGCAGCCTCAAAGGGTTGCATGTGGATGGCTTATGGACTCAAAGCATCCACAAATTGCTGGCAGTGCCTGCACGTGACCCCATGCCAAATGTCCACAGCCCCAAAAAGACATTGCAACCCGTTCAACAATGCAGCCAAACGACTTTCAAAGTTCAAACAGAAATGATGAAGGAATGCTACAAGCGATTACCACTTTATTTGGATAAAGATGGTTAGAAAACGTGGAAAAACCTTTAGCTAGTTCATAAAAATAAATCGATTCGGTTCTTTTTGTGTTTTTCTAACAAGAATTTCGTCGATGGAAGTGACAGATTGATGGGCATGCCAAACAACATATTCTTATGAAGAACACTTTCATTTTTCTTGTAGACAACGACATATCCCCCAAGCTACACCTCTTCGAGTCCATCATCATCGTCGCCATCATTGTTGGCAGCCCGAAAGTATGCAGCGCGGCAGTGGGATTCCCCTTGGACTGTTGTTCCCTGTCTGCCTGTCGATGACATCGATTGTTATTGTGCGGGCGGTCGGGCGGGTGGGGAGGCCAAACAATGGCAAACATGGGCCAAATACATTTGCCTACGGGAGATGTGTGCTTGTCACTGAGGAGTCTGAGATGCAGCAAAGATTGATGGTTGCCTCCTAAATGATACCTGATTGAGTGTGTGTGTGTGTGAGTGGCGAGTGTTTACCCAAAAAACCCATACCCTGGCCATAGACACACTCGTACATACCTCTTAAGTGTCATTTTGTGTTCTCGACACGCATTTTATGGAACTTTTTGATGCGCCACAGACAAAGTATGAGACTGGATCTCTGGACGAGCTGCTTTTGACACTGAGTGAGATAAATGGTGACAAGTTTGTAGGCCAATTTTCGAAGCAAAGCGACTAAGAGACCGAGGCGCCACACACGAACTAAGTCGAGGCTGCAATTCCCCAGCGCCAGTGTTCGCCGCCGCAGCTCGTTTGCGCCACGATCGGCAGCAATTAGCTCCTTGGGGCGCTCAAACTGGGATGAGCGACCTTCAACGGGTAGCCCATTTCACAGTTGACTGGAGCTTAAGCTGATAACTGTTTTTGTTGCCTCTGCGTTGCGTTCTTGACTTTGGCTTGAAGCGAATGTCGTAATTTGTGCGCCATCAATGGGGGAATTACTTGGCGAATTACATGCTTCAAATCGAGCGGCGGTCGGCGCTCTCCAGCTGCCGATGGAGCTGCGAGATGAGTGAGTCTTGAGCCAGGTGCTGCTGCAGCCACTGAGAGCATTTTTGCATAAGTAGTGCAAATGCTAGGCATTTGGCTTTGCGTTGAGGAGCATCATAGCTGGCTGCACCGCCCCGCCAATCGCAGTAACTGACTCAATTATCGATAAATGCCGCAGTTGGCCTTGCAGCCACTCAACGCTTGTTAGAGAAGCTATTCAAAAGTGTTGATTAGATGCCTTTATCCATTCGCCATGATCATTCTATTCCGCATTCCTTGGTTCTAGCAAATTGTAAGATTTCGGAACAGGCCTTACTTATGTATATAACTCACCCCTGAGCGGGCAGGAAAACTTCAAGTCACGTTGCCAAGCGGCTTCCCTAACCTCAAGTAATCCAGCTGCTGGGCAGAAGCCAGTTGTTGGCCCTCATGCCCAGTTTTAGCCACAATTTATGCCACACAGTTCTGCGAGCAGGACACGCAAGCCATCCCTGACTGCCTGCCTGCCACTCGCCTGCTGCGAACCCCTTTGGCGCACTGGAATAACCAGGAAGAAAAGAACCTGAAGTGGAAAACTGCATTCATCTCGGGTCGGAATACTCGCTACAAACAAACAGACGTTGGCGTGCCCCACGGGACTCGGAATGGTAAATAGAATGGAATTCAAAGTGGGGCATGGAACGGGCAGGGGCATTGGCAGGGGCAGGGGCACGCTATAGGGACAGGGATACTTGGCGAACACTTTGCACCACGACTACTTTTTACTTTTCTTTAACATTATTTTGCACTTTTCAATTAAAAAAGTGTGCACCCCACGCAGGGCAGCCGCCACACGGCAAAGGGCAAAAGTAACCCCAAAAGCCGGGAAAAAAATATGAAAACCCACGCGGTGGAGTGGACAGGAGGAGAAGGAGAAAGGGAATGAGCAAAAGGGATGGGTGCGCCGGGGAGCTGCCATAATTATAATTTCTTAATGCAAATAAAAGCTCGCTGTGCTGATTTTTCCCAACCTGTGTAGAATGAACCACAATTTAAGCAGTGTGGAGTGTTACTTGGTCGCCTCGCCTCGCCTCGTCTCGTCTCGTTTCTTCTCTACACATTGAGTGGGGCTTAAGGACTTTTAAGGATTACACGCAACGCTCAGAGCATCTTGAGATGTGTAAATTCTTTAAGATAAAGTCTACTAAATGTATTTGTAAATTTCAAAGAAACTTTTGCAGTGTAAAGATGTTGCCTGCTTAACTGTAAAGTGCCCACTGTTGTTCCGGCGCATTGGTAAGGAATACGCGAAAAATGGTTCAAAAATGGCAATCTGCTACGGCTCTTGTTCCTGTTCAGCTTTCGTTGCTGTTGACCATTGTGGCCATTGCTGAGCCAACAAGCATTCATAGTTCATGAGTGAAATGAAAAGCTGTAGCACCACACACCGCCACCACTTCCTTTCATGCTTGGGAATGCCATTCATACATACATATTTAAGGGCTTGGCTTTTCAGCGCTATGCGCAATGAGCTTACATGGCGTATAATTAATATTAAATGTAATACTTATAAATTAAATAAAATTCTGACGCTGTAGCCTGGCGCTGGAGCTCTCGTGCCTTAGTGGCTGCTTTTCCAGCCGCACGATTGATGACTTTGGCCGTCAAGCTTATTGCCAGCGACACGTTCAAGCAGCACTCCCATATATGTACATATGTACAAATGTATGTATGTACATATATGTATATGTATCCCATGTACTATGCGGCGCATATACCTACCAGGCTTTCGAGTATACGCTTCCCCTTAGTTATAAATGTATGTTTTACCAAGTTTGACTTGAACCCAAGCACGACTGCCACTTGCGCCACTTCCGCTGTGCGGAAAAATGCTTTTGATTTGATTTTCACCAAATGTCAACTTGACGTCGAGTCGGAGACGGGCGATGGTGGCGGTCGTAGAAATTGTCGCCGCCTTTGTTGCGCCAATTCTACAGCATGATTTATTGTTTTCATGAAATTGCGTGTAAACAATTTAGTGGCTGGTTTGGCGCCCAACATCCAAGACGCTCCACTCCACCACATGCCTTCATCCATGACCGTCTTTAAGTTTATTAAGAAACTTTTCAAACACTTGATTTAAGGTTAAATGTGTTGATATTTCATGCCTGTAACGAGACACACAGACAGACACTCGCAGAAAAATAATTATGAGATTTAATTTGAGCAAAACGATTTCTGCTATGATTTCTACTTGGCCTCCTGCTATGTTACCCCATATACAGTGTTCAGCTAATGAGCTTTTCTACCAGCTGCTGAATAAAAAGGTTCAACTACTTACCTGCGGGGCCGACGCGTGCATGCCGAGCTTTTCAGAAGCCGCCGAAAGAAAGAGAGAGCTTTGGAACAGATCACGGCTGCTGCTTAGCTGAGCTTCGTGCTCCGTTAGCTATAGCGCGATCTAAGTGCAGGCACGAATAAAGCGAGGCGGGATAGAGCGGGATGGACGAATGCATTGGCCGTATCTGCAGAGCTTCGCGGAAGTGACCAAAAAAAACCGAGCGTTGGAGCAGGTAGAGCAGAAAGAAGAGGGGATAGACGACAGAATAACCGTTGTCTTGCGTTAGCATATGTATCTACAGTGAGTAGTGCAAATAGCGAACAGTGGTGACAATTAACGTTAGGCTTTAAGTGAATAGAATTAAACATTCAAAATAATAAATATACAAATAAATACGGGTATAAACCACCAAACTTACAGCACTGTTTAAACTATGAATGTCTACCACAAAGATAGTCGCCGCAATGCCAATAAAGCTGCCATAACAATAAGTAAAGCGAGCTAATATCCGTTTACTGTGGTGTGTCCTCAGGGGAAGCACTGCAAACTGCAAACTGCAAATGTATCGTAAGAGGAGACTCTTCCCGATACAATGTACAGTGTCGTATGAAACAAATGCATAAGTAAATACCAGAAACGAGTGACTTTCAATATCCTTACAGGCTTATTGCCCACAGCGAATTTCACGCCATGCCAACAGATAGACAGATGAGATGGAGCAGAAGAGAGAGAGAGAGAGAGAGGGCACAAATGGGAATGCGAATGCATTTACACATTTGCAAACACAAATACGAGCACAAACAGAAACTGAACAGAACAGACAGTTGCAAACATGAACCAAACAAATATGCGTATGTACCCTGCCCTCCTCACTGCCGGCGGCAGTCGAGTCATGGCGCAGAGAGCATCTGAAGCATTTTCATGTCGTTTCGGTGGCTGGAACTAGGATTGTACCACCCAGCCAAGCCAGCCAGCCAAGCCAGCCAGCCAGCCAGCCAGCCATGTCTGAGTACGTTTCCTGCAACGCATTTACGTTTATTGCATTTGTAAATTATTCACACTAGGATATTAAATGCAAATTGTGAAATAGACGGCAATCGAGCGTGCGAGATAACCTCACAGATACAATACAGCCATGCATCTATTGAGGAATTACTCTACTGAACTCCTGCATTCCGGGTCCTTCAATTCGATTCTTTCCATGACTTTTGACACATGAGAAAACGACTTGCAAATGCGAGTCCGGGAAACGTTGATCCAACAAACTCAGCTCGTAATAAGCTGAGAACAAATTAAAAATTCCTTTTATTAGATACAGACACCCCCCAACTTGTTATAGATATGTAAGGAGACAAACTGCCCCTAACATGAGCTGAAAAGTTGTCCATACGATTCAACACATGTAACTTGGCTAAACGCATTTGACATCGGTGTTCTGGGCAAAGTTTTTTCGTTGCCAAAGGTTGGTAGGTGCCTGAGAGCGTAACATTTGAATCAAGTTAAAAGTTTAGAACAACATTGGCAGGTGTGGGGGTAAAAAGAACAGTCCAAATGGAAGGACCTGCTAGGCCACATCGTCTATGCAGAACCACGGCACCTGTCTGACAATTACTTGACAATTATTTGCACATCGAGTGCAGATGGCAGAAAAAGGGTCTCCTCCATCCAGAGCGTATAAAAGCAAAAAGTGTGCCGCTCGTCAATTCAGTCTAGTCACAATGCTCAGAGTTAAGGATCTTCTGCTGTCGCACGACATCTTCGACAATATTATCTTTCATCTGCATCTGCGTTGCTTTCGCTTATATGGCTATGTGTCGGCCAAGGATCAGTGCAGACCCTGGCTGTCGCTGGCGCGCTGCATCTTTTTCACGGCCTGCATCTGGCTGACCTGTGTCCTGATGCTGGCACGCGTCTTTCAAGGCTACGAGAGTCTCATCGATGGCGCCATAACCTGCGCCACGACCGTCCAGTACCTTGCCGTGTCCATTTCCACCCTAAACGCCATCGTGCAGAGGAAACGTGAGTGATGTAATCCTTTTTGGAGCATTTTTTTGCAATTTATATTTTCCTCAGGAGTTATCTCTTTGTTGCGTGAGATTAATGTGGATATGCAACAGCTGATGATCTCGGCGGATATTGGTGAATGGGATTTGTTATTGTCTACCCAGAAATACACTCGAAAAATCACTTTAATTCTGTGGGTTCCATCGATGGTGGCGGGGCTTCTGGCCTGGACGGACTGCATCTATCGGACACTCTTCATGCCGGAGACAGTTTTTAACATGCCCGCCGTGAGAGCTGGGAAGGAGCAGCCCATACTTCTTTTTAAGCTGTATCCCTTTGGCGAGCTCTGCGACAACTTTGTGATCGGCTATCTGAGCCCCTGGTATGCCCTATGTTTGGGTATCACAACTATTCCACTGTGGCATACCTTCATCACGTGCCTCATGAAGTACATGCATCTCAAGCTGATTATACTCAAAAAGAAGGCAGCGGAAATGAATGTTAGTACTGTACTGGCCTGCACCTGTCCCTGTCAGCTATTTTTGCATTCTCAATTGCAGATCACGCGCCTCAATGCATTCTTAGACCCGGATCGCCTGACACCCGCTCAGCTGAACCGCTGGCAAATAGAACTAATCAAAACGTTTGTCAAGGATCATCTGAAGATCCGTAGATTTGTGCACGAGCTGGAGCAGCTCATTCGCGTGCCTGTCATGGCCGACTTCATCATTTTCTCCGTTCTCATATGCTTTCTATTTTTTGCCTTGAGTGTGGGTGTAAGTATGGATAAGTGTTGTGGATGCTCCAACTAGCATTCATTACTTTGTATGGTCTTGCAGTCTCCTAGCAAAATCGACAACATTTTCATGTTCATTTATATATTTGTCATGGCTTCAATTTTGTGGATATATCATTGGCATGCTACGCTTATTTCTGAATGCGTAAGTTACGCTTTAAGGCAGTTAAGAAAACTCACTCTCGCCCACTGATTAGAATTATTTACTCCAGCACGAGGAATTGTCCTTTGCCTATTACTCAGCACCCTGGCATGCATACGATCAAACTATGAAACGAACAATTCTCCTTATGATTGTACACGCCCAGAGGCCAATGAAAATGCGAGCCGTGATGGTCCAACTGAGTGTTGAGACCTTCATAGACGTAAGTCACCGTATTGGTCTTTAGTGTGCTAATATTTACATTATGTGTCTCTCTTTTCAAGATTGTACGTGGAGCCTACACCTATTTTAATATTCTGAGCCAGCTTTATTAGACCAAATGCGATTCTCACGGACCTGGACATTCTGGACACACTGTATTTATATTTTAATCCTACATAAATACCTATATATCCGCACTGTTACCTATTGGTATTGTTAAATGACACATAAATAAATATTTCAAGCTTGAATTGATCGATCGCGTGCAGTTTATTTTATTTCTCAGCGGCTTTCAGTCTCTTGGCTAAAGGAAATTGCCGTAAATAAACAAAAACGAAACAAATAAAAATGTATTTAATTTTTAATTTGAAAGCTTAATATTTCCTTGACGTTATGCTGTATCTGCACAGGATTGGTATCTTCTTTATAGCTGCATTTATCGCTCGGTTCTCCGATTCTAAGGCGCCCAATTAGCTCCTCCATTCAGTTTGTATGAAAGCGGACAGTGTGCGAATTTTCAATTCAGTTCAGTCATAATGTTCAAATACAAGGAGCTGCTACTGTCTCGACGGATATTCGAGAATCCCATCCTTCATCTGCATCTGCGTTGCTTTCGCTTATACGACTATGTGGCTATGTCCAAGGATCAGTCCAGGCCCTGGCTATCGCTGGCACGCTGCATCTTCTTCACGGGCTCCGTTTGGTTGAGCTGTGTTCTGATGCTGACACGCGTCTTTCATGGCTATGGCCACGGCCGTGCTCTACTTTTCCATGTCAGTTATTACCCTGAATGCACTCGTCCAGAGAAAGCGTGAGTGACAAGGCTGTGAAAGTGAAATGTGAAAGGGAAGTTCTGATGCAATTTTGGAGGACGTCATGGGCATGTTACGTTTGATCGATGAGGGGATGCAGAAGCTGATGAACGAGGCGGATGATCAGGAGTTGGAACTTTTGCTTTCCAATGAGAAATACATTTGGGCAGTGACTTGGAGTCTATGGCTGCTAGTGCCTGCAATAATCGCATTATTTGAAGTCATATTCTGCAAAGTTCTAGCAATCGCACTCTGTGCGGATACACAGTCCTTTCTGCTTGGTGTCTATTCTTATGGTGAAGTGACTGACAACTTTGTGCCTCAAGCGGGCATCAAAGATCGAGTTGAGCGCTGTACACCTTCACCTTCAGTCCCTGTCCTTTCACGATGCGCCATTGCAGATCCTACGAATCAATCCATTCTTAGATTGGATCTCAAAGTTGGCTCTATTTACCACTTATTGGCATGCATCGTTAATTGATGAAAGGTGAAAATCATCTCTGATTCTGACTCTGGCATAACTCTGCTCACCGCCAACCCAGGCAGCCTTTAGTTTTCAATATTTTTGATATTTCTATAACTCCCTTTGCAGATTGTACGATGGGCCTACAGCTACGTCAACATACTGCCTGGGTTGTGTTAGATCACTAAGCAAACAACACCAAACACCCATAAAGGCGTCCAATTGACGCTGCATGTGGCTGCATAAAATTTCAGTGAGCCTTCGGATTGCGCAAATTGATGTCAGTTGATGATAAAACTTAAAATAAAACTCAATATAAATAAATATAAATTTAAACGTTTAATTTGTACGTTCAATTAACTAAGAATGTTTTCATATATTATTTATTATGTATTAAATATTGTTTTGCATTGTACTACTTTTGCAGCAGCAAAGTGGATTTAATTTCTGTACTTGAATCCCTTCCGATTGCAGACATTAATCCTTTGCATTGTGTCTAATCAAATGCCGTTGCGGTTGTCAACTCCTTTGGCATACACATGACAGAAAACAAGCCATGGTAATTCACACACAAAAAACCAACTCAAGGCAGACAGGAAGCGGCACACTGACAGGAATACTGTCAGGAGCTGAGGCTATGCTAAACCATTTTACAGCGCATGTATTCAGTGCAAGGCAAAGGCGACATCATTTATCACTTTTAGAAAACGTCGCACTGTCAGTCGCACTGAATGTGTTTTGTTATATTGTCTTATTCAATGGATATAAACGATTTTTGCTATACCACCCACGCACTCTGCACTCCGGCTACCCGCCTGCCACGTCCACTCCCCAGCCACGGCTTCTAATTGTCTTGGGGGCTCTAGATGCCAGAAATTTATGCGTCTGGCAGGGCAAACGGTCAGATACGTGAATCCACCACCGGCACGGCACACTTCCCTCCCCCCTACAAAAACAAACTAGCCACACAAACCGAATTGTTGTCCCCAAGGGTATATTTTTTAATATTATTAAGAGTATAGACACAAAATAAAACAGTGGAAACACTCGGAGCGCAACAAAAAAACACGCATTTTGCTGCGGTTGCTGCCTGTCTTGTGGGTTGCTGCATTCCTTGGGATTACATAAAGTGCCTAAATGGCTGATAAAGGCGCGCGACGGGCCTCGAACCAAATACTAATGAGTATTAATGGCAAGGTTACTGCCAGAAAACTCAAACAGAAGGGGTGACAGATAGTTGTGTGAAACAGCGTGAAAAGGGTTGTTTCTCACCCCGTTGATAGGAAACCCTTATAGATCATTGCTCTATCTACATATGTAGTATGTAAGGGCTGACTGGACTCTTCACTCGATCATAATCTTTCGCCAGGGTGCATAGAAAATTGTCTAAAACTCTTTTGAAATCATTTGAGGCATCCGCAGATCGTATATCGAAAATTTGGTTGACAACTCAAAGCTATTCGTGTACCATGAGAGATATTTTTAAACCACAATCCGAAATAGAAGCTCGTTGAAAATAGCAAAACCGCACAGGGCCATGGCCTGGCGAATTTGCTAGCATCTGTTGCCCGGTATTTTTAGCAATATTGGCAAATTTTTTATGGTTTTCGGTTTGCGCTCACGTTTGTTGTTGTTGATTATTTACGACATTACATACATAATGCAAGCGTAATGGATGGCGAATGTTCATTAAGCACAATGAATGTCGTGCACTCAGTGCCAGCCAGCCCAACCCTGGCAGAACCCTTCAGGGAATGCGTTGTACGGCATGGCATGTTAAGTGTGCAAGGAGCCAGCCAGCCAGCCACCCTCTTGGGTCTTGCAGTTTTGCGAAAAAATTAAAATTTGCCGCACACATGTAATGAATATTTACAATCCATTTCTGCTCAAGCGACACAAAAGGAAATGAATTCAAAGGGAAAGTGATTCCCGGAACGGAGGGGGCTACAATATTTCTTTCTTTCCCTTTAAGGAAATGAACTCCTCAAGGGGTAGGTCCTGCTGGCCTGCTGGCCTGGTGAAGCCACAAAATTCTCGTATATTTCGATTATGTGTAGACGTTTTTGTAAAATATAAATTGACTTCTTGTAAGTGGTGAAGGGCACAAAGGTTTGGTGCGGTGGTGTGCTAACATAATCCAATCAAAGCTGAATCAAATATTTTAATATTAATATTAAAGATATTTTTTGAGAATATTGCAATTCCTAACATGAGCTGTGGCTTCAAAGAAAGTTGTTGCTTCCTTATAAAAAAAAGTATTTCCAAAATACTTTTATATGTATGTTTATTAAAGGGTTTGCCTTTATTCTTCAAAGCCCAAATATTGCCAATCTGGCTGTACGAAAAACAAAGGCCAGCAAATGCACCACTGGATCTCTCCTTTTTTAGCTACTTAAGTGGTTAGCCGTTAAACATTTATGGCATAGTAAACGCGACACACGCTCCGCTTTAGCTTGGGCCAGCTGTTTTGGGGGGATGGGGGACTCTGCCCCCATCAAAGGATGGTTATTAAAATTAATTAACGCACGGCGATTTGTTGCCCGGCGCCATTAAGCGAAATGAAGTTGTAGTTAAAATTTGAATGAATTTAATTAATCATAAGCAATGGACGCAATGGACGCAACGGACCCTCTCGCCCATCTGCTGCTTGGGCCTGGCCAAAAGAACAAACAGCAGCAGAGGCCACAAACGGACTGCAGTTGTCACCCAGCGAGTGGGATGGGTGGGCAGGGAGTCGGGGCAGTCACGGGCCCGCCCTGGCCATAATACATATTTAAATGCAACTGATTAATCATGAATAAAGTTGTTGTGTGTTCACAGTTGTTGTTGCTGCTGTTTTGCTCCGGTCACGTGACTGAAAACAATTTGACTTCAAACACATTAACAGTTACGGTCGGGCCAGAACAGCACAGCACAGGGGAAGAGCCAAATACGGGCCCTGCACGCAGAGGGTTTGTCTACTTAACTTGGCTAAACTAAAACTTTTCATGCATTGCCGTTGACAGTGCAATAAACATGCCAAAACAAATGCAACAAAGCGTCAACTGACCCCACGCCCATCCTGTATCGTTGCCAGTCCCACACCCTGCACCCCACATGCCATCTTTAGGATAGGATCGGCGCTTTAGCTTGGAAAAGATACACGTACCCAGTCAGATATGTAGTCGAAGGGGGCCAAAAGGAGTTCTCAAATAGTTGCCAGAATTATTTCCAAGAATTTGGAATAGAAACGCGACGAGACTCGACTGATTTATGAAGTTTTGCGCTGACATTGGAATTTCTACGAGTACAAAAGTTTATTTTGGCAGCAAAAATAAAGAAAAGAATTCCCCATGGCACCCCCAATATGGCACTTATTAAGTATTATTAATAAACCGTAAATTGCAAACCTTTTCCTATTAATTAACTCCTCTCAGTCGATCTGCCACCGGCCATTCCAGCCACTTTACATGCATATGCACTTCAGTCTTTATAGATAGGTTTCTGGCGGGCAATAGATCGTACCGCCCTTTTGTAATTTCATTTTTGCAAAAAAAAATACTACAAACTGTTTTTGCCTGGGTCCTTTTTTGGATGCGCTTTTAATTTAATTTTCGTAGGCCGCAGTGCACTTCAAACCGCTTACACAAGCACGAGAATATCGGGTTCCCAGCACCCAACCACCCACACACGCACATGCACATCCATGTATACACACCACACCACACACACTGCTGCTTCGGCTTACAAAAGCACAGTCGAGTGTAGTCGTCGAGGGCAAGCTGGAAAAGCGAGCACAGCACCACCACCCAAGCCACGGTGAGGCGCCCGCTTTCATGCGCTTCGTTTAGCAAAGTGGATGTTAAGTGTAATGCGATTTTTATGTAAATTTTGGCAAAA